TGTTTACTATTACTCGAGTAATATATGATCATATATTTTACGTCAAATACGTTTTCGACACTTTTTTATTATTATTTTTTGTATCTCTTATTTAGTTTTTTTCATAAACGAGTTTGTGATTCAATTTTTGATTAGATTTGCAAAGGTTTTTTTTATATATCTTCATATATTTATGATACAATATATTTATAATAACTTATATTAGTTCTTAATACAATACTTATACATTAGTTCTCAAGTGAGACCTTTCCAAATTTTTCTTTGACTTAATTTTTTAATATGTGATATCAAATTATTTTCTTTGACTTAATTTCTTGATATATTATATCAAAATTATTTATATTTTAATTCTTATTACTTACAAGTTGCGATTATGAGTTTTATTATTCTAAATAGAAGCGGAAGTCGTTACATCTGGTAATATCTTCAGCAACCGTAGATGCTGAATTTTTGAAGACATATTTTTCGGACACCAATAAACTAGGTGACGCTGCCACCATACTTGGTGTCCAGGGGCGCACTTTTCATGTAGACGTACATTATGTTGAAGGTAAATATAACGAATTTTATGATAAAATCAAGTACAAATTTAGATATAAAATATGTAGAAAGCTTATCTATAAATTACAAATTACTGATACTTTACAAATGCACTTAAGTGTTACTAAAATTTTTTTGTAACCTCACTCCACCAACCGTTTAAAGGATATTAATTTCCAATCGTGGTATTAGGTTTTGGTAAAGACAGTTTTTTTTAATGAAATGTTAATTTTTACTTGTATTAGTTTAAATATTCTTTTTTTGTAATCAAGAGTTGAAGATATATTTGTTCTAATTTTTCTCTAAATATTCTAGAAAAATTTATAAACTTCAAACTATGAATTTTATAACAAATCGGTTTAATATGCTGTATTTTATTAGTTGATCGACCGAGCATTTTCTTCGTAATTGACAATTGGAATTTATTTTTTTTAATCGTAAATCGATTTTGAACATCCTACATTTTTTTAAAGTACATAAATTGATGTAAATCTTCTAATTAGCGTTAGATAAAAGCCAGTTGAGCCATTTCATCTTGATTAACAAATTGTTGAGCATTCATTTTCTATAGTATACATTTTTCCTCATCAAGTAAAATATTTTTAAATAAAATATTAATCTTCAAGTATTATTATCAAGTTTTCAGAATTTTCTTGAAATCTTTATATTGGGCAAATACAAGCTTATTATAAAGGAAAAGATATGTATACTTACTTCTTTCTTATATTTCATGTATGTTTACTCTTATTTTAAAATTATCGTTTAATTAATTTAATTGATTATTTTTTTAGAGCCTGTACCATGCTACATTAAAGCTACAGCTGATACAGTATTAAAGATACATAAATCTGAAAATCCAGGAGATATTCTTTGTTTTCTGACAGGAATGGATGAAGTTGTCCAAGCCAAAAATATTCTGGCTGATCATTGCCTAACCAAAGGTATTGTAAACTATTGTAACCTAACCAAAGGTATTGTAGACTATTGTAAATAATATAGTGTGATTTATCAGCTTTAATATCATGCGAATAAAATATATATTTTAGCTTTTGTTCAGAATTGTTTATATTAATTGTATTAGTGAATCAAATAACATTTGAAAAATGCAGACATTAAAATGCATATGAACTCTTTATTGTATAATTTATACATTATTCAAGTCTTTTTTTTTGTTTATTCAAGTAATATTTAAAATCAATCGATTATCATAGTTGATATTAAATTTTGTATACAGATTACCCATGTAGATATTAAACAGTCGTTTTGATTATTTTCATTCAATTATTATTTTTTATTTCATTTATCCTATAACAATATTTGCAGTCACGAATGTACTTTTACAATGAGTCTCGTTTTTCAATATATTATAATTTTATCAAAGTTATTTTTAAAATTACATTTGATGTTTCATATTTAATTGAATTTATTATTATTTTTAGATTATGAAGACTTAATGGTTTTGCCAATGTATGGCAGCTTGCCTAATAATGATCAACTTAAAGTGTTTTTCAAAACGCCTCGGGGGAAAAGAAAAGTAATACTTGCTACAAACATAGCCGAAACATCAGTTACCATTCCTGGTATAGTTTATGGTAAGGCTTATGAAACTTCATGGCATTATATATATATATATATATATATATATATACATACATACATACATACATACATACAGAATTTTGTGATATGAGTGGAACGAATATTAAATGTTAAATTTGAATAATACAACACTCAGATTTTTAACACACACATTATTGAATAATTACAGACGTTTCGAGACCATGGTAACACTGAAGATGAGGCATACCATGGTCTCGAAATGTCTGTAATTATTAAATAAAGTATGTTAAAAATATTAGTGTTGTATTGTTCATATTTAATATATATATATATATATATATATATATATATATTAATTGTTTAATATGAACAAAACAGCACTCAGATTTGTTTAACACAACTTTATTTTTGTTTTTTCATTTTTATCGATTTTTGTATGCGATAGCACTCCTTTTGTTTACATTATAATGATACCCATTCTGTCTCCATCTAGATAAGTACTTCAAATTTGTTTAGAATATTTCTGTAAGTGTTATATGTTTCTTTAGTACTGTGTCAAGCATTGCAAGGAATAGTTGGTGTTTTTTGTATATCAAAAATTAAATGAAATTTAAATAAATTATTAAAGAATGTGTAGTATATAAGTAAGTGTTTTTGAAATTACACTGAAGATGAGACACACCATGGTCTCAAAACGTCTGTGATCATAAAATAAAGTTGTGTTAAACAAATCTGAGTGCTGTTTTGTTCATATTAAACAATTAATATTCGTTCCACTCATATCATAAAATTCTATATATATATATATATATATATATATATATATATATCAGTCATGTTTTAATATATATTTTAGTTGTGGACTGTGGCTATATGAAGTTAAAAGTATTTAATCCTGCAGCACATGTAGATAATTTAGTAATAGTTCCTATCAGCAAAGCCAATGGTATTCAAAGAGCAGGAAGAGCTGGAAGAATTCAACCCGGGAAAGTTTATAGGTGAGTTTTTCTTACTTATATGTGTTAGTGATCAAAAATTTTATTGCAAGGGATGTTCAATGTATTTACCATCCTCCTGTATTTTATATTAAAAATTATTAATTATTACAATGATTATAATCGTTGTTTTTGATAATTAAATACTTTTATGTAATTGTTGCAAAAGTCGTTAATCTTTTTGGTATACAGATATAACACGGTACTTTTATAGCACGATTTCTCGATTCTAATTAGAAAATGTGCTTAAACATATGTACGTTCTTTAGTATTTTGGTACATTTGTCGTTCGCACTTAAATAAAATGCATTTATTATAGAACTTTTTTTGGCGTTATATATCATGGTCTTATAGAACTTACGGGATTACGACAAGTGGTTTAGTTTTAAAAATTCATGAAAGTTTGAGAAAATTGAGTAGTTTTTATTGACGTTTGTTACAATTAAAATTTGACGATTTACGTGGTATAACGATAGAGTACTTGGTCTTAATGAACACACTAAACCAATAAATTCCTAGGAAACTTGGTTCAATTATACAAATTATTGATTTGTGAAAATTTTCTTTTAGAAAATACTAACGTGTTCGTTCGTTTTCAAATATGTGTAATAAATCCACTCGGAATACTTTTTATCACTCATAAATTAATTTATTTTTTATTAATTAAATCGATTATTTACCATATCGAGAAGTTGATATGTGTGAAATGAATATGTTTATCTTTATTATAAAAATACAATAACATGTTTTTTAACTTTCCGTAGGGTAAGTTATTGTAATGGGCCGAAAATCGGAATTGAAAATTTTTACATTTCTCGACGTTTCAAAGGTTTCTGAACATTTTGGCATACTTCAGAAAAAATGGATGTGTGTGTGTGTATGTATGTATGGATACAAATTTTCGCCCACGTTTTCGGGCATACGGATCAACCGATTTGAATGGTTTAAAAAACATTCGATTCCTATTGATAAGGAGATGTGCTGATTAGTTTTTGGCAAAGGCAGGTCCAGAAGTTACGGAGATAAGGAGCAAAGAGTGCAGAAAATAGAAATCGAGTTTTTGAGAGAACGGAGCATCCGATTTGAATGATCTAAAAAACATTCAATTAGTAATGATTGGGAGAAGGGGTTATTAGTTTTTCGCAAAGGCAGGCCCAGCCATTTCGGAGATACAGAGCTAAATGTACAAAAAATGGCAGTTTTTGAGAGAACTAAGCGTCCGATTCAATTGATTCAAAGAACTTTCTGCTTGTCTTAACAAAATAATTGATTTTGGAAAAAAAAAATTTGTTTCATTTTTTTTTTTTTTTTTAATTTTTTGTATATCGAAAATAATCCGATTTTTATTTTAAATCTGATTATAGTTCTAATATACTTTAAACAAATAATTTCAACTCTGCAATTCAGTTTATATAATTCTTATAAATATTAAACAATGTTACAATATTTATAATAATCTATTTGAAAACATTCAATATTCCTCGAACATTTCGTTACGGTACGGGAAGTTCCAGCAATTTGCCTTAAGACACGATGCCACCCACCCCACTAGTTTTAATTTGAAAAAAAAAACCCACTTGTATTAGTCTTTTGCTCCTTAAATACGGTTGCGCATACATTGAACATTGAATATATAAATTGAATATATAATATTCCAATATTGTACACGCGTATAACGGTAGTTTTTTGAAATGTCTTTTCGATCTATTTCGAATATATACTTCGATTTATGCCATGCACAATGGGCAGCACTAGTTCAAAGTGCAATGGCGTAAAACGTCAACTTCATACTACTTCATACTAAGCGTGTAGCGTGTTGTTTTTATTATAAGCTGTCAAATTTTTAAAGAAAAATTTTGTGTTAACTATTTGTGTTTTATAATAGTATTTTATTCTGTAAAAAACATGTCTAAAGAACTTAATAATGAAGACATGTTTATTGTTGATGCAAAACCTGCCGAGAATTTAGACATTGTGCCGTCATATAGACAAAAATTGATGAAGTTGTTCCAAAGCAGCTGAGTTTGAATGTGACTGATGAAAGTAATGATTGCGCTCCTACAGGAATTGTTTTTAATTGCCAAGGAAGTCACAGCTTGCGCGATTGCACGAAACCAAGAGATCATGAAGCAATTTTAAATAACCGTAAAAAATTACAAACAACAACAAGATATCATCTAGATCTAGAAGATGAACAACAATATGGCCACTTCCAAGTAGGATGCATATCTAATGAGTTACGAGGTGCATTAGGCCTGGGACCTAAACAAATTCCGATGCATGTTTATAAAATGCGAGTTTTTGGTTATCCTCCAGGTTGGTTGGAGGATCACAAAATCAAGCATAGTGGATTGAGTTTAATCGATGCCCAGGTCAAGATGTACCAAAAATCCAATTCTGAAGACGGTGAACTTGTAGTAAATGGGCAAGATTGTAAATATGATGTAAAAAAGCTTATAACATACCCGGGTTTCAATACTAAACCAGAAACTGGTACTTTAGATGAAAGCAAATGTTATGGAGTGCCTCCTTTTAACCCATTGTTAGACAAGGATTCGATGATAAAAAGAATTGCTGATGATGCAGAAAGAAGCAAAATGAACTCTCCAGAACTTCCAACAAATAAAAATATCGATGATATGGACATTGCCACTGATGAACCTTCACCAACAAAGGACCATGATCAGAATGCATTTTCTCATTCTTTATTATCTTCAACTCCTAAACCTGCTTGTACATCTGGAGAAAGGACACAGTCACCTGCCATCGAGAGATGTGAGCTTAATAGGCCATGTTCACCTTCATTAACAGAGTTAGAGAATGAAAAGAGATTACTTTTACAAGAACTAAATGGTTTTTCTGCATCACTATCATATGAATCATTGCGGGATGACAGTTTTGTAGAAAGTAATAAAGATAATTCTATTAAAAGTAAGGATGCTCAACTGGATTCCACACATGAAGCTGAGAAAAATACTGATAATAAATTTAAAATTGATGACATAAGGAAGTTAAAGACGAAAAGAAAACAGAAAATGAATCTACTAATACCTTAAGTGAAATTGGAAATACCACTGATGTAGTACAAACTGATGAACATGTAAAAAAAGATTTAAATGAAGCTAATAATGTTAAAAATGATCTTGAACCTGATAATGTGGATACTCAACAGAATGAAGAAAAGAAAAAGCTTTATGTTGAAAACATTAAAAGGACATCTCATCAAACGCCTATAATTAATTACTCTCAATTTTCTAAAATACCTATTGCTGAAAGTTTTTCAAAAGAAATGTCTGATGTAATCAATTTTGAAAATTTGCCCGATGCTCTTGGCAAATATGACAATATGAGAGATGTATTGAGTAAAGTCAGAGGTGCTCTAAATAATCTTAAATAACTAATTCCAAACTATATATATATATATATATATATAATATATATATATATATATATATGTATAGTATAAGTAAATTGAATAATGACTATATATGTACATATGTATTGTAAAATTGATTATGATGGTCGTGGTAGGATTTGTTCAGATAAACTATAGTACTACACCAAAAGATAAGGCTGAGAATGATATGATAAAGAGTAAATATAAGAAAGAATTTGATGTTTTATTGCTCTGGTATTTGTAGGGATGAATTAATTACTTGATTACTTGATCCTTTTGTGTCCCAGAAAATATATAGTATTTTATAAGGAATTCATCCCTAAAAATTATGAAGAGTAGTTGGATTATTTTGATTATTACTCCAGTCAAGAATATTCTCAGTCAACGTCTTTTTTTCAACTTTATAGACCATATCAGAATTTGTTGAAAATGCTGAATGATGATATGCATAGAGTTTCCAAACGTACATAATAAATAGCTAATTATTTATTGCTATATTTCTATTTTTTTTTAAAAATCTTGTTTACTTGTTCTGAAAATTGAGGCCGTGTCCCGTTTAAAAAAAAAAGAATTTTAATCAATATAATTAAATAGTAGTTTGTATGCATGAGGTGTGTCAAAATTGTAAATGGTCTTTCCAGAGAATGTATATAGCTTTTTGCTCTTATTTTATAAAATACATGTCTTTTTTTACAATTTTAAGTATGAAATATTAAATTTCCATTCTATTTCCTACAAATAAATAATTCTGAATGTTCGGGGTACTATGATGTTAACTGTTATTGACGAGTATACTCGTCATGGAGAAGTGGCAGAATTTTGTGTATTTGCCATGTGTATAAACCATTGACCATTGGCTATTTAAGTCGCAATTTTTGAGAAAAAATCCCAAATTTTAAGATGTTTGGAATATTTTGAAGCTATCTTATGAAATAAGTAAGTTGTTAGTGGCGTTTTACCTTAAAGCGAGTTTGTATGAACTTCACGAAACATGAAAATAATATACATATTTATAATAAGAATTGATATTTAATTAATTAGATAACATATTAACTGCTTATTTCGAAAACAAAATTCATGCTTTGCACTAGAATGCCTCGAAAGTCAATGCGAATTCTAATTGATATCATTCGAACAAACTTATAGTACTTGTACTTTTTTGGGGAATTATTAACTTAACTAACTTTAGTACATGTAATTGTATTAATGTAATTTATTTTTTTATACCTTTCCGATTCTTGTAGTAAAATTGTATTTATTTAAGAGTGCGCGCGTCAACGGTGATCAGTACGATACACAGGATGCCATATTCTATAGTTTTGATATATTATGTATGAAATATCTGCTTTATTTAATTTTGTATTTTTATATTATTATGCCTATCAGTACATAACGATATGTAACTTATTAACATGTATGCCTCGAAATTTCAAGATTTAAATCGGCCCGTGAGTTAAAAAAGGTTGCACACCCTTTGCATGGACTACTAAGAGAAGTAATTAAACATTCATGATTTTTATATTAAACTATTTTGTAGGCCTATATACTTCACAGCAATCATTTGAATTGTTGCTCTTTTATGCATAATATTTAATTGAATTTATCCAGTTTTAACATATGTACTAAGTATATGGTTATTTTAACCAAAGAAGTAACTTACTGTAATTGACGAATATACTTTTCATGGCTGTTGGATGAGCGCTGGTTAATACACGTATATATACCAGTTTTCGCGATTCTTATAGTTTGAAACTCTAACAAACATTATATAACATTTGTTTACGTGCGTTATAAAAAAAATCAAGTAGTGGTGCATGGCATTGTGTGTTAAGGCAAATTGCTGGAACTTTCCGTACTATAATTTTTTTTAACTTTTTTTTATTTTAAAAAATAGATGTTTTGAAAATATTTTAAAAATTTGAAATTGGTGCAAAAAATAGCATTTATCATAATTTTGAATCCTCTACATTCTGCTTTCCTCAACCATTAATCAATTCTTCACACCGTTAACAAAAGAAAAATGTATTTTGAATCATACGATATAAATTTTAAAACTTGGTATTCTACTATTTTTACTATTTTCTTTTTTACTGTAAACAGATTATACACAGAAGAAGCATGGAATAAACTTCCCGAAAATATTTCGCCAGAAATGCAACGTTCCGATCTAGGAACGACCGTCTTGCAACTGAAGGCTTTGGGAGTCGACAACGTTTTGAGATTTGATTACCCTTCTCCGCCCCCTTCGAAAAATTTGATAAGCGCCCTGGAGTTATTATTTGCTTTGGGAGCTCTTAAAGAAGATGGCGAACTGACGGAGAATATTGGTTATAAAATGGCTGAGATGTCCATAGAACCAATGTTGGCGAGGATTCTGTTGCAATCTGGTAAATTTTACATACTTTTATAAATATAAAATATAATACAATAGAACTTTGTTTATCCGAACCTCAGTTATACGGATTCGCTATTATTCAGATTACCAACCGCGACCAATTTAGAGGGCGTTCATTAATCACGTGATCGATTTTTTAGGGATTTTTGGACTCCGCCTCCACCTTGGTGATTCGTGGTGATATTCCAAATTATATAAGGAAGTGTTAATTTTTTAATAAACATTGACTTTTGTTGATATCTATGTATGTATGTGTTATTTTTAATAAATACACAATGTAATTCTTCATACATTTGATTATCCGAATGCCCATCGACAACGATTAGTCCGGTTAATAAAGTTTCTACTGTATATTTATAGTATCAAACTTTTAGATTGTTAAAATTTTATGTTGTTAGTTTTAAATTCTAACATATTCAGATTCAAATACTTGACCCATAGATACTTGACCTCTGTTACATTTTTCAATCCGGTTTTTGTATTTCTAACCAATATTAGTTGGGAAATATAGTCGTCGTTCAGTCGATCACACGATTTGTGAAAAAATGGATATCTTTTTGGACTAAGTATTTTAAAATATCAAAAATTATTCGATAACTTTACGTAATAATCAATCGAACTATAGATTGTTTTTACAATAACCAGTAGAATATATATTTTTTTCTACGTTTTCTCAAAATATTCAAACTCAGACTTACTTAATAATTTCATATATAATTGCACTGTATGTATATATATATATATATATATATATATATACAGTGCAATTACTTGGCAGTTATTAGTTACATTTTTTTTTCAAAACATACATCTTGCAAACATTGTCTTGCATTTCGTTATCTGATTAATTTTTGTTAAATGTCGCTATACAGTTCATAGTTTCTTTTTTAATATCTTGTTGTATAATGCAACTAATATTTGCTATTTTTTTACTACTCTGATGCTAATTGATAGTTGTAATATAAATTCAAAGGAAAAAAAGAAAAAATACAAACATAAATTTGAACAAGGTGATCATTATATCGAGTTTATGTACAGTAAAAGTCCATTAGTCCAATAGCCTCCAGACCTATCCGTTTTGCTGTGCAGAACTATTTAAAATTCCGGACTATCGGGTGGTAATTATAAAAATTAGATAAACTAATAGTAGTTTAATAATTAAACTACAAACAACAAAGTGTATTTTACATTTATTACGTAAATATTTAACATATTATACAAATACAGTATGCAAATTTAAAAACATTTTTCTTCTACATTTCATATGATGAACAAAGTTATGTATGTAAAACATATATTATTCAGATTTAAAAAAGTCACGAATGTCTTCTTGATTTCTTGATTTTTGGTGTTTATCATGAAACTTATTTCTAATAATATGAAATTCAATAATTTCTGAAGCACTGTAACTTGTACTGGCCTCAGCAAAACAGATAAACTTATTGAGTGATTCTGCAGCTTCTTCCCAACTGATTTTTTCATTTTCTTCCGTTTTGGAAACTGAATGCCTTTCTTCAAGTTTTTGAGTAGGCTCAGGTTTTGCCACAATGTTCATAATGTCCTCATCAGTTATTAATTGCACTATAGGTTCATTCTCGATTAGAAGCCGCTCTTCCACCTCAAGTTTGGGCAGTTTTTTCAATTTATTATCAGCACCTCTAGCGACATCTAATTCTTTGGAAAGAGCCACAGATTTCTCAAACTCGTCTTTGTATTCATTCATAGAGGTTGGGTTTGCTGAAAGTATTTCTCCAGCTATATCAAGTTTTCGAATACCATGTCGAAACTTAAAGTTTCTGAGCCAACCATGAGAATAATTACATTCATTTTTAACAACTCCTAAATTTTGGCCAATTTCTTTTGCCTTTTCAACAATCATTGGCCCGGTTACTGACTGTCCTTCTGAACGTACTGCACTAAACCATTTATACAATTCACTATCTAGCTGTTCTAGTTTTGGTTTTTTTAATGTTTGTCTAGAAGCTAATGCTTCTGTTGTTACCGACTGAGTAGCAAACTTGATCAGTTCATCTTTTTTTGTTTTGATGTCATAAATAGTTGATGAGCCAACATTAAACTCATTCGATAAAGACTTTCTACTCTCACCTTTTTCCAATCGTTCGATGATTTCTAGCTTCTGGTTGAGCGTCAGTGTTATATGTTTTCGTTTCTCTCTTTTCGAACTTGTAGACTCAGTACTTGAAAACATGTTTACTGCAAGTCACAAAGAAAATACCTTTTTATAAACAGTTTCACAATGTACTTCAATAAAAAGACACAAAAACGTTAAGAAAATAGCAAAGACGTCTTGTGATTGATAAAGGAAAGGTATACTTCAATAAATAATGCCTCGTGATTAATTAACGGCGACAGCTTAATACTGAACGAACAAAACCGACCCCTTCCGAATGATCTCGAGCTACCCCAAAAACTTCTAAACCTTCAGCTAAACTAAAATTTTCCGAATCGATGCCGGACTGTTGGGTGCCGGACTAATGGACTTCTACTGTACTAATATACTGTTTTATGCATTGGTTACATCCTTGCTAAATGCTTGTAAATAAAAGATTTTATTAACTTCCCGACGGAGAAATTTATGTTTTTTTATGGAAAAATCCGATTCACTAATTTTATGCATGTTTTCTCCATGTTTCAAGCCATTCTGAATCGAATGAGACCAAATTTGGATTTTTTGCCATTCGATGTATCTCGATGAGCACTAGCGTTTATCAATTTTGCGCGACGATCAACCAAGCCATTTCTTTGTAAATTGCAGAAAAAAAGAAAAAAAATCTTCCACGTTTTAGACCACAATCTTGAATCAATTTTGAAAATTCAAAAGCTGTTTGAAAGGTATTGGTTAGGAATCGTTAACCGATTTCAGAAATTTAAAGGCCATCTGATGTATCTCAATTAGGACTATTGTTTATCAGTTTTGTGTGACGATATGCCAAGCCGTTTCTTTGTAATTTGGAAAAAAGTGTTAAACTTTTCGTCCACATTTAAGCTCATACTACCGAATTGATTTTAAACTAGTGGGGTGTATGGCATCGTGCCTTAAGGCAAATTGCTGGAACTTCCCGTACCGTAAAGAAATGTTCGAGGAATATTGAGTGTTTGCAAATAGATTATCATAAATATTATAACATTGTCTAATATTTATAAGAAATATATAAACTGAATTGCAAAATGGAAATTATTTGTTAAATTATATTAGAACTTTAGTCAGAATTAAGAATAAAATCAGAATTATTTTCGATATAAAAAATATACCCCAATCAATTATTTTGGTAAAACAAGCAGAAAGTTTTTCGAATCATTTAAATCGGATGCTTAGTTCTCTCAAAAACTGCCATTTTTGCACATTTAGCTCTGTATCTTCGAAATGGCTGGGCCTGCCTTTGCCAAAAACTAATAACCTCTTCCCCCAATCATTACTAATTAAATACTTTTAAGATCATTCAAATCGGATGCTTCGTTCTCTCAAAAAACTCGATTCTATTTTCTGCACTCTTTGCTCTTTATCTCCGTAACTGCTGGACCTGGCCAAAAAATAATCAGCACCATTCAAATCGGTTGATCCGTGCGCCCGAAACGTGAACGAAAAAATGCGGACACACAAAACACACACATCAATTTTTTCTGAGGTATGCAAAAATGTTCAGAAACCTTCAAACGTCGAGAACCAATCATTACTAATTAAATACTTTTAAGATCATTCAAATCGGATGCTTCGTTCTCTCAAAAACTCGATTTCTATTTTCTGCACTCTTTGCTCTTTATCTCCGTAACTGCTGGACCTGGCCAAAAAATAATCAGCACCATTCAAATCGGTTGATCCGTGCGCCCGAAAACGTGAACGAAAAAATGCGGACACACAAAACACACACATCAATTTTTTCTGAGGTATGCAAAATGTTCAGAAACCTTCAAACGTCGAGAAATTCAAAAATTTTCAATTTCGATTTTTGGTCGATTACAATAACGATTTTTGGTCGATTACAATAAACTTGCCCACGGGAAGTTAAAAATCGAACTGTTCGAAAGATATTAGTTGGGAATGATGCTGATTAGTTTAGGTGAAAATGTACCGAACCATTTCTGTAACTAACTGTTGAAAAAAATTTAAGCCGATTTTATGGAACTTCTTTGGCGACTTACTGAAATATTACGGCCTTACGACAAGTAGTAAAAATACTTGTACAAAGTAGTAAAAATACAAGTAGTAAAAATACTACAAAAATAAAATTACACGATTTACTTAGTATAACGATAGAGTACTTGGTCTTAATGACATACAAACCATTAAAGTCCTACGGAAACTGGTTAATTAGAAAAATTATTTTTGAAAATTTGCTTTTAGAAAATATCTCCCAGTTAAAACATTCGTTTGTTTTCAATTATGTGTACTTAATCCACTCGGAATACTTTTAAACACTCATAAATTAATTTATTTTTTATTGATTAAGTTTTATTGTTAAGATTACACATATTGAAAAGTTCATGTAAAATGTCTCAAGGAAAATACCAATACCAACTAGTTTAATATATCTTAATCATTTTTTTTTATTTTATATTGAATCATTTTAGTTGATACAGTTCCATTTTATTTTAGATCACATGGGATGCACCGATGAAATACTTTCGATAATTTGCATGCTCCAAGTACAAAATGTGTTCATTCGACCTACATCTGGTCAAGGTGCAATCAAAGCTCGGATAGCCCGCAGAAATTTCGAAGTTGAGGAAGGCGATTTGATAACATTACTCAATGTATTCACAGCTTTCATTGACCACAACTCCAGCAAAGATTTTTGTAATAAATATTATCTAAACTATAAGAGTTTAAAGAGAGCCAAAGAAATCAAAGGCCAGTTGAAGAAATTTTTGACAAACAAGTTTGGTATGAAAATTGAAAGTTGTGGGAAAAACATTGAGGCTTTGATAAGGTGCATTGTATACGGATTATTTCCTAATGCAGCTTACTTGCATTATTCTGGGAATTACAGAACTGTACGTGGTGATTTTGAATTACATATTCATCCAAATAGTTGTTTATATACAACCCTGCAACCTCCTTTGTAAGTATTAAATTATACCAGTACATATCTTATATTCAAAATTTTATCTTTCTGTATAAATGCCACGCATTAGATATCTAAACGATTTCTTTAAACAAATTATATAATCACGTAAAAAATATTTAAAAATTTATTTACTCCAGAAGGAAGACTATATTAATAATTGATTACTCATTTCTTCATTTTAATATTTGAAGTTGATTTAGTTAGATATAATTTTTTGTTTTTCATCTTTACATTACTTTATGACCGTCAATCTTTATACATCATCGTCATTATTATTTTGATTTCGTGAAGTTTTTTGCTTAAATATTATTTATATAAATAATCGTTCTTATTTTAATTATAATTCTTATTTTAATTCATATGTTATATATATATATATATATATATATATATATACTAGCAAACCCGACGAACTCCGTTTCGCCACCAGATGGTTTCGTGAGAAAGATGAAAATTTTTTTTGTTTGTTTTATATTTGAAAAGAAATTTTTTTTATTGCACAACAGGAATGAATTTATTTCGATTACAAAAATGAAGTGTTTTTTAGTTGAACTTCTCTAAGTGAATAAAAGTAAATCCGCAAATTATCCGTTTCATGGAAGTGGTCTTTGGTGAACCACATTTTTTGTTTTTTGGTCTGACGTTAACACAAACAAAGCGGATGGTTTTTCAACTCGTGAACAGGTAACGTATAACTGCCCATGTGATAAATAATGATTTTCTAAATAATCTGTTTGAAATTTATCCCGCAAACACTAAGCGATTGGCCTTGCGGCTTGTTAGTTGTCATTGCGAACGCAAGGCGAACTGGAAATTGCGATTTCGCATTAAGGCACGATGCCATGCACACTTATTTTCTTAGCTATAAACCTTGCGGAGCTCGAGACTTTTCCAACGAATGCAAAATTGTCGAAATCGGTTCTTGCGTTCTGGAGTTATATCGTCAGGAAGGAAAACCCAACTTATTTATATACACATATATATATATATATATATATATATATATATATATATATATATGTAGATATATGTAGATAAACTATTTGAAATTATTTAAAACAATTGTTGATTATTTTTATTACTCGAATTTTTAATTACGGTGCGTGAAGTTCCAGCAGCTTGCATTAAGGCACGATGCCATGCACAACTAATTTTCTTAGTTATAAACCTTGCGGAGCCCGAGACCTTTCCAACGAATGCAAAATTGTCGAAATCGGTTCGTGCGTTCTGGAGTTATTTCGTCAGGAAGGAAAACCCGACTTGTTTTTATATATATAGAAGATAATCTATTTAAAATTATTTAAAACAGTTATTGATTATTTTTATTACTGGAATTTTTAATTACGGTGCGTGAAGTTCCAGCAGCTTGCATTAAGGCACGATGCCATGCACAACTAATTTTCTTAGCTATAAACCTTGCGGAGCCCGAGACCTTTCCAACGAATGCAAAATTGTCGAAATCGGTTCGTGCGTTCTGGAGTTATTTCGTCAGGAAGGAAAACCCGACTTATTTTTATATATATAGAAGATATATATATATATATATATATATATATATATATATTTATAGTTATATATTTATAGTTCTGATTTCAATTTATATGTTTTATGTGTGAGTGTATATACCACACGATTATTGTTATACAAAGTTCTTCGAATTTTTACATTGTATACACATTTATATACATATATATATATATATATATATATATATATATATATATATATATACATATATATGTATTAATTGTTTAATATGAACAAAACAGCACTCAGATTTGTTTAACACAACTTTATTTTATGATTACAGACGTTTCGAGACCATGGTGTGTCTCATCTTCAGTGTAATTTCAAAAACAGTTACTTATATACTACACATTATTTAATAATTTATTTAAATTTTATTTAATTTTTGATATACAAAAAATTTAAATAAATTATTAAATAATGTGTAGTATATAAGTAACTGTTTTTGAAATTACACTGAAGATGAGACACACCATGGTCTCGAAACATCTGTAATCATAAAATAAAGTTGTGTTAAACAAATCTGAGTGCTGTTTTGTTCATATTAAACAATTAATATTCGTTCCACTCATATCATAAAATTCTATATATATGTATATATATATGATATTCAGTTTTCAGGGCAATACATCAATTAAAAAATTTGTATGACTTTAAAACATTTTTATTTTTTCCATACGTTTCGACACATTGTTTTGTGTCATCTTCAGTGGACTCTAGATTGAAAGAACAGATAGAAATTATTAAATAAAATAAAACTAATAATAATTTAAAACTAAATAATAATCTAAAACTAAATAATAATTTCTATCTGTTCTTTCAATCTAGAGTCCACTGAAGATGACACAAAACAATGTGTCGAAACGTATGAAAAAAATAAAAATGTTTTAAAGTCATACAAATTTTTTAATTGATGTATTGCCCTGAAAACTGAATATCACATATTTCAACATCAAAATTATAATAAAAAAATTTAATATATATATATATATATATATATATATATTTCATTAAATTTATTCATTTATTTTTAGTGTCGTATTTTGTGAACTGGTTCATACTACTAAGGCATATATGTCTGAAATAACTGTGATCGATAAGATGTGGTTATTGGAAATTGCTCCGCACTATTATCAAGAATCACCTGATTTGGTATTTAATTCACAAAACCTTTAATTCTATGCTTTGAGTGATGTGTTTAACATGATGTGATTATCTTAACCAAGTGGAAAAGAAAAATAAAAAAAATCGCTCATAAGAGAAATTTGTAGACAGGTATTTCAATATTAAAATAAACATAACATTTTTTTATTATTTTAAAAAAAGTTCTTTGATATAATTAATTTTATCACATATTTCTCACTTTTATTGGTGATTTAGTATTGCATATTTTAATTACCAATTTTAAAATAAAAAATATGTAAAATATATATATATATATATATATATATATATATATATTGCTTTTCTAATTTTAATTTTAATTTGCTGCAAATTTTGAGATTAAACTCATCTTATTATATTTATAAATCAATAATCAAATATTATATCAATCTCAAATGAAAATAAAGTTGTGAACTTTATGTATAATAAGAACAAAACTTTTGCATTTGAGCTGTTGAACACAACTTTATCGTTGATCTGTATTTTTGCAGTTATATTATTGTATATTAAGGAAAATGCAAAACACATTATTTTGAGTCTTCTGATTCTTTCGAGCCAAATCTTTCATACTGATAACACGACCCCAGCAAATATCTGTACATGTTAAATGATTCTGGAAATGATAAGAAAAGTGGGCAAATAAAGAAATGATTTATTATCGGAAATATATTTACATACATACATACACACACACATTATATATATATATATATATATATATATATATATACACACATCATATCCTATCGTGAAATAATTTAAAACTAACCTAAATCATTTTACTGATCCTCAAATGGAAGGATGCAAAAGAGTGCCCAGTGATCAAAGAGTATTCAAATTCAGGAGATGATAGTTTCTAAATATTTAGATATGTTGTTCAGATACTTAATTAAACAATGCATTTATGATGGTAGTAAGTTAGAAGTCTTCTGAAGGTAGTAGTTTAGTAGGACTTCCTAAACTACTAAACCGATTTTGAAATATATTGGGTCACACGTGAGCATTTATATCCAACTTAGGTTATAGGCAATATTAAAAAGCTCAGTTGATATTTGAAGTTTTAGAAATTTAAATTCATTTTGACAGATGATTATTAAGAAAACAAGGTAAAATGACTTTTGTCAGTGTTTCTAAAAACTTCGATATAAATTGATTTATCATTTACATTTTATTTGCTTCCGGTGTTTATTCAAAATATAAATATAACATTAGTAAATATAAAAGTAAAATATAATATTACTATAAAAGTAACAAACAGTAACAAAGTAAGATTCAAACAAATTTGTTTATTGTTGACAGCAGGGCCATGTTTACTTATCTATGGTCAACTAATATCTAATGTCAAAAAAGAAACGTCAAGACATAACCTAAAAATATATCTTTTTTATTAATTTATATATTTACAGCATCAGAAGAGAATTCAAAGTTGTATGGCATCGTACTTTAAGGCAAATTGTTGGAACTACTTATCCTGGTCATTATAAATTGAATGTTTTTTGGATCATTTAAATCGGATGCTCCGTTATTAAGTTTTTTTTTAAATTTTCCGAAATTGAAAATTTTTGCATATCTTTACGTTTCTAAACATTTTGGTATCTTAGAAAAAAATATGTGTAGGTACGGATGTAACTTTTCGTCAACTATTTCAGGCGTACAGAACAACCGATTTTAATTATTCAAAAAGCAATTCATTCCTATTGATAACGTGCTGATTAGTTCTTGGCAAAAGCTGGTCCAGCCTTTTTTAATATACAGAGCAACGAGTACAGAAAATATAAATAAAGTTTTTGAGAATACGATTTCGACGATTCAAACAACATTCAAACCGTAATAATGGAGAGAGAAAGTGGTGAAAGAGTGAAAATCTAGACATTCTAAGCTAAATGTGCAGAAAAAGGCCAGTTTTTGAGATAACAAATCATTTGAATTTGATTTGGATTTGAATTTGAATGATTCAAAAAAATCCCTTGCTTGTGTTGACGAAACGATTGTTTTTGGGAAAAGCAACTATATTTTTTTTTAATATTTAGACTATCGAAAATAATACAGATTTTGATTTTAATTTGATGTAACTAAAATTCTAAAGTTCACTTACATACTTCAAATTAATAATTTCAACTTTGCAAATCAGTTTATTTAATTTTTAGGAATATGAGACTAGATCCTTTATTTTAACTCCCCTTCGAAGGGAAATAATTAGTTCTGATTTCATTTACTTTTCATGTAAACTTATATAAACCCTATCGTCCAATTTATCAGTTCTTATTATTCGTCTATAAAATACGAATAATGAAAGTTACAGTATTTACAATGATCTATTCAAAAACATTTAAAATTCTTCGAATATTTCATTAAATGTTCAAAATTTCATTACTGTACGGGAAGTTCCAGCAATTTGCTATAAGGCACAATGTCATGCATCACTAGTTGCACTGGTCGAAAATTTCAAATAAAAACTTATTTTCAACTTTTCATCCAGTAAATGGCAATTTTATAACATTATTCATTATAAATAATATAGACAAGATCAGTACAAATAGAATAACGTAAACAGTTTTTTGATATCTCTCATATTTCCGACAAAAAGAGAGTTTAAAAAAAGGGGCCACTTTCACATGTTTTCACTGATATCTCGGCGAAATGATGAGCTACGGATTTGAAATTTGGTATATCGAATTTTCTTGAAAATACTTATAAAATGGCATCAAAATAATTTAAATACCAGGGTGGGGCCAATTCTGTATGGAAACACGCCCATACCCTTTGGTCGCCATTTTCTCTCGAAGTTTGTGATTCGATGTTGTTACTGTAATTAATTGTATTCAAGTGAGCATTTATGTGAAATTTAATATGGCAAATGTAACGCACCAACTTGTGGTAACTTCAGTAATAATATAAAAATGCACTTCTTTCCGGCTTTATGAAGTGAACCAATTAGAAATGTCCAATTATATTTCCCAGAATAGTTCTCATGTTTACAGTTCACAGTGATATAAGAAGAGAAAGACAGTCTAATATATGACCAGGAGAACACTCTGCAACTCCAGTGGAAAGGGTAATAATAATTCTGAATATTTTAATACCATTTGCTATTACCACTTGATATTATATTACAACATGTTATGTTTATTAGATGTTCTTGGGAATACAAATTGCAGCAGAATCTAGTGACTAAGGAGAGGAGTGTCTTGATGCCGAGGGCATGTAAAATGTATGACACATCCATTCTATGTTGAGGGAGTTAAGAAGGATAGACAAACAATGCAACAATTTAAGGTATAAATTGCAACAGAGTATAAGATGCTCTGAAATATTCTTAACATTCTAGCCGAAAGGACTGCTGCACTGTTCTATTGACACAATCGAATCATAAGAAATTCAAGATTTTGTAGAATGCAACTTTATTAATGATTGATTGGAAAGCAAAATAACTATCAAATGCAAAGTTAATGTTAAAGAAGAATGACTCATAAATGAATTTTAATTTTTGGAATTTAGTTTTCTATCAATTTTGATATAAATATATATATTTTATGTCTGTAGGATTTAACTTTTTAAATTTGTTCATTATTTCTCACTTCTTCTAATTATACTATTCCATTATCTATAGTATATACTCTATATGCTACATACTTAGACTCTATACATTTAGACACTATACTTTTTAATATATTATTATTAGTCATTAAAAAATGATTATTAGTCAGTTCGTGTAAATTCATTATACTTATGAAAGCTTTTACAATATTTCTGTGTAGTTGTTATATATTGTTGATCATTAAGTAATTCATATTGATCGTTCCTTTTAAGTTTAACATTTTATTGTAAATGCTTCTACACAATCTTTGTGTAGCTGTTATATATTATTGATCATTAAGTAATTCATATTGATTGTTCCTTTTGATTTTAGCATTTTATTGTAAATGCTTCTACACAATCTCTGTCTAGTTGTTATATATCATTGATCATTAAGTAATTCATATTGATCGTTCCTTTTGATTTTAACATTTTATTGTAAATGCTTCTACACAATCTCTGTCTAGTTGTTATATATTATTGATCATTGAGTAATTCATATTGATCGTTCCTTGTAAATTTATTATACCATTGTGAATACTTTTCTTAGTTACTTATAATTGTAAAATTATAATACTTGTTATTGTGTATATATTGATTATTACATTTATAAAAATTTTAATTGTTATGTAAAAATGTTTGTGATATATTTGAAAATATATTTTGTACTTTGTATTTTCCTGCCTCCTTCAGATCGCTAAAAATATTAAAATGGAGGTAATGCATAGACCTTATACAATACATGGACTGCTAGTTGAGCGCATAAAAAGTGTCAAAAGATGTTCTATGGTAGGAGGGCATACGAGGGTAATTTTGCGGCCGAGATATGTCAAATACGAACACGAGCTTTACCGAGATTAGTCGAATGCGCTCGATCGCTTAAATTTTACAGTTACTTGGGTTCACGTGATGTTTGATCGCTCGGGTTTTTAAACTAAAAGAGGATAAATATACCTGTTGTAAAATTGTTAAAAGTAAAATGTCTTCTAAAATGTGTTTGGTCTGTGGTAAAGTTTCTGATTGCAGTAAAACCTGTTCTGAATGCTTCGCAAGTATTCCGGGAAATTCGACATTCATCGATATAAAAAATGGAGGATATCTTTCATATCCTTCCGATAAATGTTTAAATTATGTTTATATATAGAAACCCTAATTCGAAATTCTTTAAATTTAATGTACAAAACTTCATATGAAAGCACAATTCTCCGAAAGTTGAATGACTTGGGACTTGCACATTTTTTTAGATCAAGCCATTTCCAGCAATTTGTCCAGCATTATCATGACCTTATCAACTTTGTCGCAAAAATTTACTTAACAATTAGAATGCACCATGAAGAAAGAAAGAAAAAAGAAAGAAAAGCAAAGTTGATAAATATGTACTCCGCTTTCATACGAAAATTGTGCTTTTTAAACACCAATAATAAATATATTACATTTAAATAAATATTTCATTATTGCTTTCTAATTTCCCATAATAGCTCTAGCCAACTGTTCTTATTTTCAGTGAATTTTATAATAATGTTTGAATTTTATAATAATTATAATGTTTTAATTTTTTTTTCTAATTTCCCTTAAACACTTTGCATAACTAAAATAAATAAATAAATAAATAGTTCATTAAATTCATTAGTTCAACATAAATTGTATATTATATAATATTTTGCCAACAATTTCGAACACACGGACTTTCATTTGACGTTTAAGCGATCGAGTTTGACATATCTCGGCCGCGAAATTACCCTCGTATGCCCTCATACCATAGAACATCTTTTGACACTTTTTTACTTGAGAAATGTATGGGGACTAGCAGTCCATGAAATTGTATAAGGTCTATGGGACTAGCAGTCCATGAAATTGTCTATGAGGTAATGTCAAATGGCCTCAGATAGCGATCTATTTATGTTTACTTATCTATGGTTGTGATGGTGGTGTGTTGTATACCCTGATGACAGATGACAGGAGACAGGATGACACTTCAAGCAAACGGAAAGTTTCTTGATCCGCAGAGCGTCATTGCACAATCCATTTTAATCTCAGCCATCGCGGGAAGAAGAGATTGGGAAGCCAGTAGACACTCCAGTTATAGAAAGCCAGTGGACAATCAAGTAGTACGTACGTGCATTTGCCACATGTTAGTCATTTTATTTTGCCATTGTGCCCTGTCGAAGTAAAAGGTTGTATGGCCGTGTATATATTAGTATTTTGCATTAGTCATTTTATGTAATGGGCTTGAGAATTATTTGTGGATTCGAAGCTTATGCAAGTGTTTACAAGATCTTTCCCAAGGGTGCTACAAATACCCATCACTACATAATGACAGATTTTGATTGAGGTTAGTAACAATTTGAGAAGAAAAATGACGCGTCAATTCTTATACGATCATAGATAAATAACGAGCGTTTTCATGCAGTTTGAGAAATTATTGAGAAAAGGACCATTGATACTGCTTTGATGCAGATGCTCGTTTTTCAATTTCATTAGTGAGTTGCTTTAATGGTGTATATTTTTTTTCTATATTTGCCTATATCGCATCAATTGGAAATCTTATCTGAATCGCTAGCGAATACAACATTTATTTGCTTTAACTATCCTAACTCGTGATGAACAAAAATAATTATGATAAATCAGATTTGAGCATAATAATGTGATTCTATTTTGAAATTGTTGAAGGATTTCAATTATTTTCAAAAATTTTTTAGAAAGATTCTGTAATGCTAATACGATCAATGCTTTTTATATGAAATATTTTGTAAGTAAATGAAGCTGATGCATTAATTTTAATTTAATGATTTTGAAAACAAAGTACTTTTTACAATTGAATGTCACGGTCACAACGAAATGTATTCAACATATTAAAAAACATTTAGGTATTATAATTATCATTCATACATTTTAACATTTCTACAGCAGTTTGCTCTTTCAATTATAAAAGCCTTTGAATTTTTATATAATACCCTTCATGACAAGAAAATTCTGTGCTGATCCTGAATATTTACTTAAGCCATAGTATATATTATTGTTGACGGCTGCTACGATTTAAAGTTTCCTAGGCAAAATGCATTGAGGCTAAGTCATGTGAACACTGAAATAATTTTATTTTTCATGACAAGAATAACTGTAATAATTAGTCAAAGATACATGAAATATTTAATTTCAGATAAAGACATACAAAGAGTAATCCAAACTTATTATTACCTTTTATATTTCAGCTCTGCTATAAAATAGAAGCTGTCGACAATAATCAAGTAATTGAATTATAAAAAATAAGTCAACTCTGGAATGAGAATCCTGTATTATCTTACTAGCTTGCTTGCTGCAGTAGACTTCTTTGCTTCATTAACTATCGGTAAGATAACAAAACAAGCAAAAACAAATTCTTATTTCGTAAGATGCAAGTCCAATTATTTAGGTTTTGAGAAACCTAGAGTATAATTATGCTTTTTAATACTTACTTATAAAATACTAGAAGGACAAGATCAATACATAGTCTTTCCAGAAACATACTCCAAGCTTCAACTGTTAACTGCTATTGCTTATAGTTTCAAATAAAATATCACATCACATAATTATCATATCTCAAAATAATTAAATATTCAAAATATTTGTTCAAGATTCATTATATAGGCTCTGTATCGATACTTTTTTCTTGATACAGGTTGCTGATGAACCACAATTAAGGATTTTTTTTTATTACATTTAATATGAACAAATATATACAATCTATACATTTACAAATTGAATACCTATCTTTATTTGAAGATAACAAAAACAATTATTACCACAATTAAGGATGGCAACCCATAAGAGAAATATCTGCTGAGGGATCAAAAAGACTTCTATGGAAACTGAATTTATTAAATTGAATACGCGTAGAGACTTCAAGGTATGCAATTTATTTAATCATTTGCTTATTTATTCATCTTAATATTTTGATATCGTCATTAAGAATTTATTCATATTTTTTTCATTTTATTTAAATTTTTTTTTATATATTTAATTTTCCATTATTACAATAATACTTATAAGTCACTTATAAATTAATTTATTAAGTCAATTATTTACACTATATCGCAAACATCATGTAACATGTTTTAAAATACCGCTTACAAATAGGTCAATTTTTTTATTATTCACTTACTCATACACGAGTTTTAATCATTTATTTATTTATGCATACAAATGACATTTTTTACATTCTACATTTTTTTTACTTACCCATTTAATAATTATAAACTTTCTGCAGTTCCTCTACGATTATTTTGCATATCTGTTTTTGAGAAAACATCGATTTACGGCAAAAAATCTGTTCACACACACACACACACACACACATACACATACTCACACACACACATACTTTTTCCAAATTTGGTCTCATTTGGTTCAGAATGGCTTGAAACATCGAGAAAACATAAAATTAGCGAATCGGATTTTTTCATGAAAACATAAACTTCTCCTTCGAGAAGTTAAAAATCAAAAACTGTTCGAAAGATATTAGTTGGGAATGACACTGATTAGTTTTAGGGGAAAATCTACCGAACCATTTTCTTGTAATTAACTGTTGAAAAAAAATTAATCCGATTTTAATGGAACTTTTTTTGATGATATATCATGGCTTTATAGAACTTACTGAAATATTACGGCCTTACGACAAGTAGTTTAATGTCTCGATGAACACACTAAATGATTAAATTCCTACAGAAACAGGTTCAATTATAAAAATTGTTGATTTTTGAAAATTTGTTTTTAGAAAATACTCCGAGTTAACGTGTTTGCTATGTGTAATAAATCCACTCGGAATACTTTTAATCAGTCATAAGTTAATTTATTTTTTATTAATTAAGTCAATTATACATTTCGGGAAGTTCATGTAACTTGGCTCAAAACAAAATACCAATACCAACTAGTTTAGTTTATTCTTTTCAATTTTGCGATTTTTCATATAAATTATTTATTTTTTTATTCATTTATCTATTTGTTTATTTTTACTTTTATATATTTTTAATTTTAATTGAAAATTAAATAATATAATTTAAATTAATTTTATTTTTATTAATTGTCTAATCGGACCAATTCGAATTTTTTTGCGCAGGATGTCATTTCTGAGCCGTGTCAAGTGGCTCCGCCGGCGACTTGATTGGTCCACGCGATTGTCAAGTCATTCATTTGCGTGATGGGCTGCAACGCAAGAGGACCTCCAGGACCAAGGGAGAGAGGACCCAGGGAAGTACCCAATAATAATAAGTGTGTTATGAAAATGAGCAAAATTAAACAAATCATTGTCGGGTTCTCATTCATTCATTCGCGTTTGCTTCCATTGTATTTAAATTTTGTGCAATTTCTTTTAACAATTTGTGATATAGACAGTAGATTGTGAACGGCATACGTAGTTTGGCGCGATCGTATTAATTTTTTTTAAGTACTACTTTGTTAGCATATTATGTAATGTCACGATTCAGATAATTACTTGCATGCTAATATAGTAGCTTGGGGTAGTAGTAAATTATGTAGGTATCATTTGTAGTTCTAGTTTTGACTGACACACTAACACAATAATCCACTATTAAACAAGAATGTAATAATCTGAATCATTTGACATTATGTATTACTTAATTATATAATTATTAAATTATTGTCAATTATAAACAACTGTTGCCGTTTGCAATCTATATAGCATTGCGCCAATTTATTCATATTCTGATATGCATAAGTTGTTACATTGATGCAATAACTTTTTTTCATCACTTTTAGGGCGTTCTTGGAGGCCATGATACAAAAATCAATTAAGGACAAAGTGTGATCACTAAATGTTATCAATCTATGAAATAGTTTCAAACCTGCACATAATTTTACCTACTTCAGCAGTATGTGTTATTTATAAAACATTTTAAAAGATGTATTCTAATCTCTTGTTTTTTTTGTTCCAGATTAAATTCTACACTACTGAATCAACTGCCCCATTCGACCCAACCGACTCTAGTCAATCAAACAGTAAGCTCCGATCAAGTACCTATCAGGCTGTAGGTATCCTATCTCAAACATTTTAAAAGACGTGTTCTAATCTTCTGTTTTTTTTTTTATTTCAGATTCAATTATCCACTTCTGAATCAACAGCCCTCATCACCTTTAATTCATCAAACAGCAATAAGTTATCAAGTATCTATCAGGCAGTCTGTATCCTTTATCAAACATTTTAAAATATGTGTTCTAATCTTTTGTTTTTTTTAATTTCAGATTCAATTACCCACTTCTGAATCAACAACCCTCATCGCTTATAATCTATCAAACAGTAAGAAGCTATCAAGTATCTATCAGGCAGTCTGTATTCTTTATCAAACATTTTAAAAGACGTGTTCTAATCTTTTGTTTTTTTTATTTCAGATTCAATTATCCACTTCTGAATCAACAGCCCTCATCGCTTACAATCCATCAAACAGTAAGAACTTATCAAGTATCTACCAGGCAGTCTGTATATCATTTATCAAACATTTTTTAATAATATATAATAATCTTTTGTTTTTTTTATTTCAGATTCAATTATCCACTTCTGAATCAACAGCCCTCATTGCTTACAATCCATCAAACAGTAAGAACTTATCAAGTATCTATCAGGCAGTCTGTATCATTTATCAAACATTTTTTTT